TATACCCATGTTTGAAGGTAGGCCAAGTCTTCAATAAGCTTGGATTGTACATGGGAGAGAGAACAGAGGCCCCTGATCTCTAAGGACCTCAACAGTAGAATTCCTGGGGACCTAAGGGAGACCACTGAAAGGGAGGGCCCTTTGAAGACCCCAGGTAACTGTCTCCCTCACCAAAGACCTCCAGGCCAGAGTATGAAGGGGGAAAAGCTACTCAATTTGACCTTTGTGGTTTAAAGGAGTTTCCAAAAGCCCAAGGCATAATGCTGACATGGAGGGGAGTATCTGATATCCCAGGCAAGCAGATGGGGGCAGTGGCGGTTCAGTGGTAGAATTTTCACCTTCCATGTGGGAGATCGGAGTTCATTCCCAGCCAACGACTGCAAGTCCAGCCACCTCCCGTCTGTCCACGGGGATTGGTGTGCTGCTGTGATGGTGGACCACCACTCACCTGTCAGTTTGTCCTACTGTGGTGGCTTGCATGTTGCTGTGAGGTGTTCACCCACGGCAGACTGGGTCTCAGCAGAGCATGTTAACTGACTGCCCTGCCCAGGGGAATCTCATAACATGACGAGAATATCACTGTTATATATGACAGTATCTGGGAATGTGAACAGGATTCAGCAGAACTTCCAGACTGAGGCAGACTAGCAAGAAATGCCTGGTGGTCCACACCTGCAAATCAGCCAGTGAAACCCTTGGTCACAACAGTCCGATCCCAGCCGACCGTGGGAATGGCACAGAACTGGACGTTTCATCCCGTCGTGCATGCATCAGGGCCGCTCTCAGCAGCTAACAACAACGAGTAGCAGAGGACTCTGCCCACCTTCCCTCAGGTCCTTCCAGCTGGGTGCCCACCCGCTGCCCTCACACTGTCCTCAAGGTGCTAGCACCACACCAACACCCAGGCTAAGCTAACAGCCCATGTGGCAGAGGCTACAGGCTACCCTTCTGAATCCTTCAGTAAGAGAGAAAGGGTCACAAGGCAGGTTCAGCAAAGACCACACTGAGGTTTCTATGACTCAGTATCACTTGTGCTGCCCTTGAGAAATTCACAAAGGTGCTTATCAGTGGAAACAATACTGGCTCCCCCAGTGTTGAGTGCCTGCCTGTGTGCAAAGTACTGTGTGGGCTTTGCTGCATTTGTTCCTCACCAACGCTAGAGGGCACTGTTGCCATTCCCCCACTTCACGGACAAAGAAACAGAGGCTCTAGGAGTTAAGTTACTTTCCCAAGATCACACAGCGAGTAAGCGTGGGAGCCTGGACTCACCATTTTTCTTGCATGATCTCCACCATTTTTTCTTGCATGATCTCCACCCCAACCTGGGTGGCTAGGAACAGTCACATCTGTTAATCCTCAGAGAAACACCCCTTTGTGGTTGATACTCTTGTCCCTGTTTAGAAAACAAAGTATTTGAGGCCCAAAAACAAACCCACTGCCATCAAGTCAATTCCATCTCATAGTAACCCTACAGGACAGAGTGGAACTTCCTAGTATAAGTCTTTAGGGAAACAGACTGCCTCATCTTTCTTCCACAGAGCAACTGGTTGGTTTGAACTGCCGACCTTTGGGTTAGCCAGGTTTTCCAACTTCCTACTATTGCCTTTGCATGGGAGGGGATGGAATTGCCCAGCCTAGATTCAGCCTGGTTTTAATCTGCAAACTCAGACATCCAGAGGCAATTGGAGACTTGCATTTCCAAAGCTAATGACTTCTGCAGCTCCTTCCAAG